AGTGGTACACATCTATAATCCCAGCCACTCTGGAGGCTGAGGCAGGAGGATCAACAGTTCAAAGCCAGCCTCAGCAACTTATTGAGGCCATAAGCAACTTAGCAAGACCCTGTTTCTAAATAAAAATACAGAAACAGGCTGGGGAAGTGGCTCAGTGGTTAAGTGCCCCTGGGTTCAATTCCTGGTACAAAGAAGGAGGAGGAGGCGGAGGAGGAGGAGGAGAAGGAGAAGGAGGAGAAGAAGAAAAAGAAGAAGGAGTTGGAGGAGGAGGAGTGTGGGGGGGGAAATACCTAACTAAGGTATTTCTTTCCAATGAAAGCTGAGATTTTTCTTTCTAACTTAAAGACATTATTTGCTCAGATTTCTTTTTCTTAATCTATCAAGAAAACAGCAGGAAAAAAAAAGTGCTTGCTTGATCTTCAGTGCTAAAGATGATATAGATTTGTAGTGAGTTTTGCTTTCTCAAGGAAAAAGAAGGTACCATATTGCATTGATTTTCCTTTTCTTCTCTTCACTTTTTTTTTTTTCTTTTTATGATCTAGTTTTCACAACTTAAGCTTCCATTTAGAACCTGGAAGAAATTCTGTTATTTTAAGGCAAGCATAAAAATTTGGAATGCTTTGCTCCACCTCATCTCTGGAATCTCTGGAGAAGTTTTCTGAGTGACTGGGTTTGGTCAGGATGCTGTTTGGTCTCCACTTCCTGACTGCAGCGGCATCTCTCACCTTGAAGATTGCAGGTGCCCAGCCCCCATCCCAATCTCCTGGCATGTGAAAACACAGAGAGAATGCTGCTCCATCCCACCAGGCAGAATGGGCTTCTCTTGGGCTCATCCCATTTCCTCTTTTTTTTTCTTTTTCTTTTCTACACCACATTTTCAGATCCCTTTTCTTCTTCTTCTTTTTCTTTTTTTTTTTTTTTTCGTGCCTCAGTGGGTAGACTGGTGGGTTTCCAGGATTCCTGAGAAAGGTGTCAGCCACCATCTGTTCAACTACTTTTCGATTTGGGAACATGAGAAGTTAGCTTGACATTGGTGTGAGATTGTGGTGGGACTCAGGCAGAGAGAGGGCTGTTCACATCCTCTCTACGATCTGATTTCAACAGCAAAGAAATACCAAGGCAGGTCTAATTGCTTTGTGCCAGGGCTCCTTTTGGGGACACTGAAACTGAACAGTCTTCTGAAAATAATGAAAATTGTAGACTCCTTTCTGCTGTAGTGATGATTATTGCTAATCATTTGCTTCAAATCTGGTTGCCTTTTCTATCTCTTGCTCCCCTGCCCCCACCCCCGACTTCTTATCCTAAAAGAATGAAGTGAAGTGGTCCCTTTATCTTTCTGTTCCTATGGATTCACCACTCCAGCACTGAGTCACCTCAATGAACAGGGATAGGAGACATGGGCAGGATGCTGTGGGGCCTGATGTATACAGGCATCAGATTGTTTGTGGCTTTTCAAGGGGGCACAGTATAGAAACTGTGGTGGGGAGGCAATTAGGAAAATGTTTTTAAAAGATCCTTAAGGTTGGCAATGATGAAAAACAAAGGATTGAGAACCAGTGCTGTGGACAGTTTTCTCATGTTTCCTTGAAAACTCCCAACTACCCGGATCTGCATCTCTGTTCTTGAGAATGCATCAACCACAAGTGACTGGCGTTGGTGTATAAAGACTCCCATTCTCTCACCCCTGGGATGTACCCGGCACTTCTAAAGCATGTGTTTCCCACGGGTTAAACTCCAGTTACCCTCTGTGGCTGTGGCTCTGGAATGTTTCTTTTACTGTCTGCCTTCTTTTTCCTTGTCTCACTTCCCCACTCTTTTGCTTTTTCCATCACCTTCCAAATAAACCACCTACACTCAAAACCCTGTCTCCATGTCTGCTTCTGTGGGAGTCAAGGATTGTTACGTGTGCATGTGTGTATGTGGTAAATGATTTGTAACTTCATTAACTGTAAGTAAAAGAGGACCTAGGCATGAGAAAGTGTGTTATGGACAAGGATTATAATTAATCCAATTCTATTACCTGAGATCTTCACTTGTTTGTTGTTGTTGTTGTTCTGAGTTTTTTGTTTGTTTGTTTTTTAATCTTTTCAAGCATGAACTCTGGAGCCACACTGCCTAGATTTCCCCAAGTTCCTTACCCTCTCTATGCCTCAGTTTCCTCATTTATGACATGGGGATGTTGCTAGGAACTCCTCACAGTACTATTGTGTGCACAGAGAGGGTTAGCTCATGGAAAGCACTCAGGGCAGAGCCTGAGGTAAAGGTTAGCCACTATCACTATTGTTGATGAGCACACAGCCCTATTACGTCTAGACTGTGTACTCAGCCCTCTTCTCACCAAGAGAGCAGAAAAGAGAAAGCAACAGTAAAAGTTTTGAACTACAAGTCACTTTCTGTGTGACTAAGAGGGCCCACTCATTTGGGCTCTCTGAGCTAACGAGTCCTTGCTGTATTAATAGTCACATCATTTAGCGTCTACCCAGAGCAACCTCACAACCTCACCTTTGGAATTCAAAGACCCATCTCCAGTAAAATTCCTGGTTGGCACCCACTTTATGATCCACTGGGCTCCTGAATCCAGACACAGAATTATTAAGCAGGTAGGCACTGGCTTAATATAATGAACCCTATTAGGCAATAGGTCCCTTTGGCCTGAGGGAAAAAAAAATGATGCTCCATGTTTCTTTTCTCACAATTTGCAGCTACAGCACAAATGCAGGGATGGCCTTCTTGCAAAGCCTTAAAAGTCAGAGAACACAGCTGCTTTAAATACCTCCACCAGAGGACCAGAGAAAGTTAGGAACCTTCCCTCCCATGGCGGAGCTTCCAGTGAGATGTTGTGCTCTACTGAGGTTCTGACCCTGACATGATTTATTTGTGAGTCAGAGATCCCATGAGTTGATAAAATGTTTAATACCTCCATAAAAACCTACATGGTAATTTCTCTTTGTACCCAGCATTTCCATTTAGATATTTACTCCACATAGACTACTTATTAAAGAATGGAATCACAACCCACGTAACTTTCTCCTCGCCCTGTTCACATTGGAACCCATCTCTGATGGAAGGGCCCAATTTTCCCTGCCTATGTTCTATTCTGTTTCTTCCTTCCCATTATCTTGGCATGTGACTTTTTCTTTCCCGACTCCATCTGGGCATCAATTCACCGACAGTACGTGAACCTTCTTTGAAATAACTCTTTCCAATAGAACATAGGCTGGTGAGCTTTTTCTGTAAAAAGAACACATAATGAATATTTTAGGCCTCATGGATCATATGTCCTCTGTCAAAACTATTCAACTCTGCCATTATAGATGAAGCAGCCACAAACAATGAATGCGTCTTTTTACAATAAAACTTTATTTATAAAAGTAAGCAGTGGGCCACAGTGGGCCTCATTGGGCCCACAACAAACAATAGTTTGTTGATCCCTACTAAAGAACAACACAAACAAACAAAATTGATCATCCTGCAGATCCACTCAATAAGGTATAAACAAATAGTCTCAATTTTTTTAAAATGATCTTTTCATATAATACAACGTACACAAGAATTTCTATATTTACTTCTAAAGTTGCTTTGAGACTCAGCCAAAGCTGTACTGCAATGTTCTCTATATTCACCATACTTTGTCAATTGAAAGTAATAATTAGGGTCCGCATATTCATGCATTCATTTCATAAAAACCACACACTAACCACTGAGGTTACACCCCTTGGTACATTCATCAATGCTTCTTATTTCACTTTTCTTCTCATGGCGTACAGTATAATTTTGTTTACCACATTAGGCACAGTAACAAGGTTTTTCTCTACCATGGACACACAATCAAAAGAAAAGGCGAATATTGACTGTACTAACTTTGGCCCAAAGACATCTGTACAGAAACTTCAGAACAAAAATACAATTTCTCTGGTTTCCTCCACTCTCCTGAATTCAACTTTGCACAGATTACTTGTCATTGTGGTGACACAAATAAGACTTCATTAACATGGCCATTCTGATCCTGGTAAACAAGTTTATTTACACTTGAGCACGGCTGAAGAATGAAGTCACAGAGAGAAGTTCATGGTAGGTGGCCCTGCCTTTTTCATTAAGGCAGGCTTTGACAAAATGCACGGCACTGGCACCTCGGCACCTCGGTTGGACAAGCTGCTATTCAGCTCCCTGGGGTTAACGAAAGTTCGGGGTGTGCGCCTGCTAAGAGAGGACAACAACACTTGTAATCAAGGCTGCTCACATTTGTATTTAATGATATGTGTCAGTGCCCTTTGTAGAATTTTTTCCTAATTCCTGTGCCTTTGCTCCCCCAGTGGATCTAAAAAGGATAACTCATGTCTCTGTTGACTTGCAATGGCTGGTTAGCTATCAGTTAAGCCTTTTTTTTTTAACTTAATTACATATCAAGTAGTCCTCAAAGATAACAAAACCCGGAGTTAGATAAATATATCTATCTATCTCCAGGTTATCTGAGATTGTAAAAAAGAAAAAGTCTAATTATCACACTGAAAAAAACATTATGAGGATGTAGCCTTTTGCTCTCAGGCGATGGGAAAGCTCAATCCAATGTTCCGTGTCCTTCCTAAGGTGGGATTCATTGGTGAGTCTTCACACAGGGGAAAGAGGAGAGAAATTCAGGTTCCTGATGGTGCATATGCTGGGACATACAGGGAGATAGACACACCTGTGAATGTAGATCCCCCATGGTGGTCTTGCTCACACAGAGAAGACCCCCAAGCTGGGTCATCTCTCTACCTGAGCCTCCTAGTGCAAGGATAGGCCCTTCCTCTGGGATGTCAAAACTTGGTCCTGCTCAAACAGTCCATGGGGTAATCAATGGTTTGCATCCCACCATTCTGGGGACTAAGAAAAACCTTTCTTGTGACAACTTGGAAACAGGCCCCAGGATGGTCTCTCTGGGAATCAGCTGGGTGAAGGAAAGCTCCAGGCAGGGGTGGAAGAAGGGGAAGAAGGAGATCTAAGATCCATGGAGTGCAGACCTCATCCTGGACATGAAGGTGAGTGCTGTGAGCCATGGGGCTGAAGAACAGTGACATTACAGGAGACTCTGATGGTGGTTTTATCTGCACTCCAGGCAGGATGGTTTCCTCCTTGCATCCTTCTCCTAGGAGGTTGGCTTCAGCTAGAAGAAGAGGCTGAGCCTGGGATCAGAGCCTGCAAAATGAGAGGTTGATAGCAGCCAAAGAAAAATTGTGCGACAGGTAGGTTTCCCATCCTTGGGCATCTGAAGCCACCTCTCTCCGATTTCCAATTTCTGAAAGAGGAAAACTTGATGGATCCAGCAGGCCTCAAACTGAGAAACTCTGGTGAATGTGGAGTAGTGAGGAGTCAGGGCTGAGAGAAAGAAAAAGAGAGAGAGATTGAGAAGATGCTGGAGGAGGAACATGAGAGAGAACACCAAAGAGGATAACCAGCCCCCTAGATGCACATCTGTTTGGACTGGTAAGTAACTCATCAGGAAATGATTAAAAACATCTCACACAGTAGATCTAGATTCTGCATGGATGAGTGATTATTTAGCAGTAAGATTTCTTTCTGGTAACAGATGGACCAGGGCTTCAGGCACAGACAACTACAGGACTCCATCTACTTAGAGATGGCCCCTGGGTTTCAGAAGCTAAGTGAATGTCAAAAGGTTTATCCTCTTAGAAACGGGTCATACCCTACCCTGCCTGGCATGAGCAAATTGGCCAGGAAGTCCATACAAATGGACTGAACATCCCAAGGACTAAGACTAATAGCAAATGGATGTTTGCAGTTGGTAAAGAGTAGAGCAGAGGTTTTAGGATCCAAGGAGTTTTCAGTCCATAAAGAGAGACAAGATGTGGCAAGTAATCCCTTCATAGGATAAGAATAGTTTATTGGATACTTCTCTGCACTTAACTCTGCTCTACATGCCAAACATACTTTAAATAACTGGAGCCTCACAGCAGTACTATTAGTATCCCCCTTTTAAAAACTAGAAAACTGTATAAAGAGATTAAATTAATTGAACAAGTCATATACCTCCTTCAGTGGCAGGATTGGGATTCTAACTAGAGTCAATGGCTCCAGAAGTAGAATAAGAAGAGGACAAAACAACATCAAGCCATGCAAAATTTTGCAAGGCAAGAGAACTTCAGTCACTTCCCCAAATAACCATATTCGATACATCTAGTTTGCACAAGGTACGAATATGCCTCATTTTGCAAATGAAAAACCTGAGCATTTTAGTAGAGTTGGGATTGAAAATTGGGTCTGTCTAGTTTCCAGCTTGCTCTCTTTCCACCATTCCAATGGCTGATCTCCTAGCCCACCCAGTGTTCCATGCTGTCTAGATCCTGGGAGATTTCTAGAGTATGAGCATTTATTCCAACTTGCTGAAAAGGCAAGATTTATCAAGAGTTGTGGTTTATTCATGGAAGGCTAAAGGAAGGATGAGATTTTACAGACCTGGAGGAAGCAATACCTGGTTCATGACCAGGTGTCATAGTCATCTTGCTATTTGCAGGACCTGCTTGTGACTATATGGAATATATTTGAGTCTTAATGAAGTTAGTTGTTCTTGGTTTTTTTTTTTTTTTTAATGGAGGAAGGATAGCATCTTCAACAAATGGTGCTGGGAAAACTGGAAATCCATATGCAACAAAATGAAACTGAATCCCTTTCTCTCGCCATGCACAAAAGTGAATTTAAAATGGATCAAGGAGCTTGATATCAAATCAGAGACACGCCGTCTGATAGAAGAAAAAGTTGGCTACGATCTACATTCGGTGGGGTCGGGCTCCAAATTCCTCAATAGGACACCCATAGCACAAAAGTTAATAACTAGAATCAACAAATGGGACTTACTCAAACTAAAAAGTTTTTTCTCAGCAAAAGAAACAATAAGAGAGGTAAATAGGGAGCCTACACCCTGGGAACAAATCTTTACTCCTCACACTTCAGATAGAGCCCTAATATCCAGAGTATACAGAGAACTCAAAAAATTAGACAATAAGAGAACAAACAACCCAATCAACAAATGGGCCAAGGACCTGAACAGACACTTCTCAGAGGAGGACATACAGTCAATCAACAAGTACATGAAAAAATGCTCACCATCTCTAGCTGTCAGAGAAATGCAAATCAAAACCACCCTAAGATACCATCTCACTCCAGTAAGATTGGCAGCCATTATGAAGTCAAACAACAACAAGTGCTGGCGAGGATGTGGGGAAAAGGGTACACTTGTACATTGCTGGTGGGACTGCAGATTGGTGCAGCCAATTTGGAAAGCAGTATGGAGATTTCTTGGAAAGCTGGGAATGGAGCCACCATTTGACCCAGCTATTCCCCTTCTTGGTCTATTCCCTAAAGACCTAAAAAGAGCATGCTACAGGGACACTGCTACATCGATGTTCATAACAGCACAATTCACAATAGCAAGACTGTGGAACCAACCTAGATGCCCTTCAATAGACGAATGGATTAAAAAAATGTGGCATTTATACACAATGGAGTATTACTCTGCATTAAAAAATGACAAAATCATAGAATTTGCAGGGAAATGGATGGCATTAGAGCAGATTATGCTAAGTGAAGCTAGCCAATCCCTAAAAAACAAATGCCAAATGTCTTCTTTGATATAAGGAGAGTAACTAAGATCAGAGTAGGGACGAAGAGCAGGAGAAGAAGATTAACATTTAACAGGGATGAGAGGTGGGAGGGAAAGGGAGAGAGAAGGGAAATTGCATGGAAATGGAAGGAGACCCTCAGGGTTATACAGTGGAGGGGGTAGAGAGAGAGGAGGGGAGGGGAGGGGAGAGGTGGGAGGGGGGAGGGTGGAGGATGGGAAAGGCAGCGGAGCACAACAGACACTAGTATGGCAATATGTAAATCAATGGATGTGTAACTGATGTGATTCTGCAATCTGTGTATGGGGTGAAGGTGGGAGTTCATAACCCACTTGAATCAAAGTGTGGAATATGATATGTCAAGAAATTTGTAATGTTTTGAACAACCAACAATAAAAAAAAAAAGAATTTGTACAAAGTTTTTTAAATAGTCAGCTGGGAGGATCTTAACCTGAAAGGCTGCTATAATAAATGCTGAATATAAGTTGTCATCCACTAATTGAATCATCTGTCAGGTTAGTGTGGATATTTGCATGTCAAGGTGCCCAGCCCTTTAAGGTAGAAGGGCTGGTTACCTGAAATAACCTGGGCTAGAAGCATCAAACAGCATTCTTGGTGTAAATGGCATTTTGGAGACTCTGAGGGTCAAAGCTGGCAAAATTAAAATTTATTGGAAACCCAAAGGTCGAAGTTAGATGCCACTGGAACAAAACAGATACAAAAAACAAAGTTAGGGAAGCAGCAAGAGGGATCAAGGTAACCATCACTTTCTCTTTTGAGATTATACTCATCTGTAGATAGATGGAAATATCAAGTAACAAGTAGGAATTATAGAAGTTATATAGAGAAAATGCAAGAAGTGAGATTTGTTTTTCGTCATCTAGAAGTCCCAGTGTGGGCTCTTCAGGATTAGTATGGCTAGCTTATTGCATAATGGTCTTGAGGACCTTTCAGGTCAATGCTATCTGTGGTGACAAACAAGCCTGTAAATTTTAATGTCTTAATATAAGAAAAGTTGTTTCCCATGGTTATTCAACTGTCCAATGTACGTGTTCCTCATCAGCAGGCATTTTTCCTTCATGAAGTTCTAGCCGATTGTAAGCTTACTAGACTAAATCTTAGTTAAATAAGCCATTTAATGAAATCTAGTCAAAGAACCAGGAAAACAGATTTCTACCATCTTCTGTTTTCTAAATCCTCAGAATCCTGTGCATGTAGCCAGATGATGGGCAGAGACAGGGGAGGGGGTGTGGATTATAAAGGACCATCTCTAAAAGAGGCACCCATCATTTCTATGCAAATTCCATCCCATTCCATTGGCTAGAAATTATTAGAAGCTCCAAGGGAGGCTGAAGAATACAGTCTAGCTTTGTGCCACAGAAGAAGGACAAATAGCTTTGGAGAGCAGTCTCTGCTACAGGGACCCATGATTCTCCAGGCTCCTTGCAGTTCAGTGATGTGTCACCCTCAGGGTCTGGCCCTGGATCAAAAGTGGCAGCCAGCAAAGCTGCTTTCTAGTTGGCAACCTGAAGAGCCACTGAGCTAAATTCTGAATGTGTCATCACTCTCTAAATAATTCAGCTCCTGGGTCAGTTTGGATATTTGCATCTACCAGACCGAGGAAGGAAAAACAAACCCCAAACAAAAAAACAAACAGAAATAAGAACACGTGCCATGTGTACTTCAGTCTCCTCATCTGTAAAACAGAAAAAATAAAATAAAATAAGAATACTTACTTCAATTGAGGCATGGTGGTGCATGCCTTTAATCCCAGGTGACTTGGGAGGCTGAGGCAGGAGGATCACAAGTTCAAGGCCAATATGGGCAACTTAGGGAGGCACTCATAAACTTAGTGAGACCCTGTCACAAAATAAATAAAAAGGGCTATGGATGTGACTCAGTGGTAGAGCACCCCTGGGTTCAATCCCAAGTATCAAAAAAATACATAAAATTTGAAAAGAAAACTTCTGAGTTTTTGAGAAACAGTGATATTCTTAAAGTAAAATTCTTAAAGTGTGTAGAAAAGTATCTGATTTATATTAAATGCTCAATAATAGAGAGTTATGGAAAGAGGACAGGAGGAGAGAAAGGACGAAGTAAAAAGGAAGGTTTCCTTGAAGCAGAATGTTCCCAAGGGCAGAAATTCCCCCAGGAACTTCTATTTATTTCTCATTGGTCAGAATTTAGTCACATGATCACATAGTTGCAAGAGAGGCTGAAAAGTAGTTTTAATTTATTTTAGTCGGGACTATATGCCTGGCTAAAAATCAGGAAATTTATTACTGTAGAAGAAAAAGAGACTAGAGATTGGGGGAAAAAACAGTTTATGCCACAGTGCCAAACAGCCTAGGTGAGGCTCATTTTCCATGACTGCTAATTTATCTTCTCAGTCTTACTGAGGCACACTGGCCTTACCACCATTTCCATTAATGTGCCATTAGGGAACCCCATTAGGGGCATCCCTGAGGTTATGAATGTTGGGTGCTACTCCTTCATAGCTTGAATGCCCCATTTCCAGATGCATACTTTAGGAAGTATGCAAGAACCTGAATGACCTCCAGGACTGAGGCTGAAGAATCAAGGAGAGCAACCTTGCATGGGCCCCGCTTCTCCAAACCATTCAGGAGCTCTGGGCCAGAAACCCGTCTTCATTTGAGCCTCAGCTACTCCCTCTTCTTTCCTTGATTTTTTCAGCCCCTGGAATCACAATTTTCTTATTGCTTCCTGGGACCCTACTCCCACCCCAAACCCCATTTCTTTCTTTTAAAAAAATATTTATTTATTCTAATTAGGTATACATGACAACAATGCAGTTTGAGTCATTGTACACAATTGCAGCACAGCTTTTCATTTCTCTGGCTGTACATGATGTAGCATTGCACCATATGTGCAGTCATACATGTACCTAGGGTAACGATGTCCATCTCATTCCACCATCTTTCCTGCCCCTGTGGCCCCTCCTCACCCCTCCCTCCCCCAAAATCCCATTTCTGATTGACTGCCGAGGCATGATCCAGGCCTTACCTCACCCAAAAGACCCGGTGTTATGGGTTGAATTTTACCGCCCCCCAATTTATATGTTGAAGTCATATCCCTCGTATCTGTAAATGAGACATCATTTGGAAATAGGGTTGTTACTGATGGAATTAGTTAAGAGGAGGTCACATCGGATGGGTCCCTTCTCCAAGATGACTGATGTCCTTATAAAAGGGAAATTTGGACACCTACACAAATACACATACACACCCCAAGAACACCCACGGCAGATAGACAGGCTAAGCATCTGTAGACTCAGGACCATCAGTTACTGCCAACAAATCACCAGAAGGTAAGAGAGAGACCTGGAACAGATTCTCTCTCAAAGCTCCCTAAAGATTCTCCCTCACTAGCTCCTAAATTTCAGACTTCTGGCCTCCAAACAGTGAAACAATAAGCTACCCAGCCTGTGCTGGGGTACCTTGTTATGGTGACTCTAGGAAACAAATTCATGTGGCCTAGCTCCACTCATCACCAGGTTTGAGGTAAGCTTGTCCCAACTATCCAGAAAGGGGTTGGTCAGCTGGTCTCAGCTCTTGGCTCCATCTCTATTTTGACTTTTCCCATTCCAGGCCCACCCTACTCTGCCCATCTATTCTCCCCCTGGGGCCCCAGGTCTCTCTCTCTCTCTCTCTCTCTCTGAAACCCTTTTGGTACTACAGTCAACACACCTGGTATGGATCACAGTATTCAAGGACCACACCTTCACTTTAAGAATCCTCTTCTCATAAAAATGTCTATAGCCTGTGAGTGAGTATTTTAGGGGAAGCCAGAATCTCTCACCTCTCCTTAGGCTTTATTTGTGCAACAAAATGAAACACAGTTGAGTATCCCCAGGATTATTGACATTGACAATAATCCTGGGGATAATAGTTACAGTAAATAGTTCGACCGCTTTCTGGGGGGAGGGCCTTTTGCCAGAATCAAAGCAAGAGGTGGGTTCTTAGCACTCCCCCGATTTAGAATGTGTGGAGGTGGCTGTTGGTGTCTGGGTCATCTGGCTTACCTAGAACTTCTAAGGTACCTGGGCCATCAGTGCAAGAAGACTTAATTGTCATGTACAAACTACTTTGCAGTGACTGAAACAAATAGATTTCATGAGGCAGAAACCTAGGAAACAAGTAAAATGAAAACACATGCCACTAGTCTGACCATATCCGAAACGGAAGCCCCATTATTGCAAGGCCACATGAGCAGAGGTACACACACCATGCGCTTCCCTGAGAAGCTGTGATTTCAAAGATCTACTTCCCTCAAAACCCCAAGAATTCTCACGCACACATGGTTTGCTTTTAGATTCAGAAAATATAGTCACTACAGATGCAGGGCTCATGAAGAGAGCCTCTGTTTATCTGAGGGGACAAGAAAAGGAGGGTCTCTAAGGGGTATGGAGGAAGATCAGAAGAAAGGCCACAAACTGATAGAGCAGCCAGATCTAGAGATGTCAGCAAACCCAAAAGCCCATGTCTGGGGCCAAGAAAGTCTCCTCCCCCAAACTATTAAACAAATACCATCTGGTTAAGATGAGCACCAGAGACAGCCTTCAAATGGAAAAGTCCCAAATGAATAACCCCAAGAGGAGGCATCCAGAGGACAGTCCCTAACTGCCCCATTCCCTGTGTTGCTAAGTAAGTGCCTGCCCACAAGTGAGTCAAATAAAGTGAGCTCCAGGTCTCTGCTGCTGTCTTTCAGCATCAGCCTCCAGGAAGAAGACACAGGTAGCTGCAGGGGGATTGCCCAGGAGCACCACTTGGCACTGGGTCACATGGTGGTATGTCATTGGCTTTCCTACTGGCTGGCCCCTAACTCAGAGAGCCATGAGAGGCCTCCTTCCGGGGCTAGTGGCTGCACCTCTCTGGTGTTCCCTGCCCTGAGCCCCATTTCCCTCAGAATTCATAGGTTCATGGCAACCCGCAGTCCTCAGGGCTAGGGACCCACATTGCCCCCATGAGATGACAAGAGGGAACATGCTTTCCTTGGCACTGGCCACAGTGGGAGATCAACCCCCAGCCTCACTTCAGAGGAAGGAGTTAGCAAAGAGCAAAGGGCAGGAGGATCCAATTTATGTTACAGCAGAGTTTTATTTTGTTTTTTTTTTTAATTTTGTTTTGTTTTTAATTTTCAGATGAATAATTCAGCAGTTATGCCAAGGTTGAAATATTTTTCTGTTTTCAGTAAGATGTGAGAAAAGGAAATGAATTTTAATGAAATGTTTTGGTTTACTTTATCTGAGGCTTCCAGTGTAGTGGGATTCCCACGCCCTAAACAGATGTCAGCTGTTTTATCCTCTTGCCTGCAAAAGGCAACAGAAAGCCATGTGGCCACCCTGCTCAGCCCTCAAGCATCCTCCCATTTCCAGGATGGACACACCATCTCCCTGTGAGCACAGGGCTGGTAGGACATTGATGCTATGTGAATATTTCAGTCCTTCAGAAAACTAAAACTGCAAGCAATGATTCTGATGCCCTCAATGATACAAACCAACAGGTCTCCCCAGGTGAAGCAAAGCACCTGCCCCACATTCCTGGGGCCTACACATCTCTGCCTGGTCAGGCAGCTCAGACTTTGGCAGGTGGCCCAAACTTTCTGAGCAGACCAGGAAGAAGTTAAGTATTATATGATTCTGTAAACAAGATTTAAGGGAAGGTGGAGAAATGTGGCAAGATCTTTCAGAAGAAGACAGGGCTGTCAGGTGGAGGTGATGTCACAGACAGCTGAGACTGTGCCAGAACATGAGCTAATTTATAGCTGCAGGCTCAGGACATGTCTTTGAGCAAAAGTTTCTGAACAAAGCCGACAACTAACCGACCACATGGATTCTCTTAAATGGGTTTGCTGATGGGCTTCCTCCTGATTCAAGAAAGAAAACACCTGCCCCAAATGAGGTCATCAATAGATCAATTAAAGGAATGATTCGTTGAGCCCTTCCCAAGTGTTAGAACTGAGCTAGTTTGGGGGGAAGGGGAGGCAAAGATAACCAGACCCCGCCTGCACGGGCTTATGAAAATAAGCTTGCCCAGGCAACGCCTATGAACAGCAAACCAAAGAAAACTCAGGGAATGTCTGTAATCAAGTGATTCCTTGCCTAGATTTTCAGCTGCCACCATCCCTGAGGTCACCCTTGTCTAGAGAACCAAGTGACTACCTAAAAAGAGAAAAATAAAAGCAGTTGCTGAAAGAACTCAGCTATAAAAGATTTGCCACAGGGAGCTCATAATAATTTTCTTTTCACATTTTACCATTTAGGGTTTTTGACTTCACATTCTCTATCATAAACATTGCTGTGGTCCTGGTAAGGAAAGGGTGAAGGTCTCTGTTCTGATCTTTCTGATGAATTAGACAGGAGTCTTGGGATTCCTGGACCTACCTTCCCAGGAGCATATTTGCTTCATTTCTCCCAATTCCCTGGAGGAAGTGGGTGGTCCAGCAGGCAGAAAACTCATGAATGGATGACTTCTAAGGGAAAACAAACCAGAGCCTCCACTTTCTATTCCCTTTTCCCTAGGACTGGTTCCCTAACTGAGGAAATGTCCAAAGCACTCCCTATTAGAATGCTACTATGTTACTTATCTTCCTAAAAGTGGCCAATGCAGAAACAGATGCAGCTGATCAACTTGTAATTTCCTCTCTGCCCCCAGCCTTGACTCCAGTGGTGTCTCTGGGTTAGTCCCTCACCCCTACTACACATGCTGTTGGCTGTCTGCTGTGCTCAATTTAATCAGTCCACACTAAGTAGGGGCAAACTAGGAGCCCTGTCCTCTCTCCAGGGTGTGAGAGTGATAGAGGGAACATCCCAAGAGCACCAGGAGCAATGTCTATCTTCA